ATGCATGTGTATATACAGCGTGTAAATGGACGTGTAAGTAGGTGTGGGTAGAATGCATTTATAAAAATAATGGCTGACTAGTAGTGTTATCGCACACGGAAAGAAGCGATTGTAGCGAGCAGCTTCGTTGGTGATTCGAGTCCAGTGAGTGAAGTATTGGTCATTTCGTATTGAAACGATACTGTTCTGTACTGTGATAGATATCGATAGAGTCTAAACTTTGCAAATATATATAACTGATGATAAATACTTGAGCAAGCGAGTCGAGTCTATTCGTAGTTCGATTCGTAGCCCGAGAGTTGGGAATATTACGTTGGGAAATTTAGTATCGAGAGTGAAATTATTCAAAGTTGCACGGATTGTATGGATGTGAGAATGAAGAGGAACGATCCGTAGAGAAGAGAGACGCGTTAATCGTACGTTTTACGCATCGCGCAACTGACTTGTTATCAAACTTGTTTCGATGAAGTCGTATTGGTTGAAAGAGAAAGGATACGACTTTCGGTCGTGGCAATGCGACTCGCACGATGTGTTTCGTGCCTTTTCCTCCGATTAATTGCATCTGAGCTGCTGTTGTTGTTCTTTATTTTATTTTATTGAACGTTCTCCACGTCCTGTCGTGGGAAGATTTGACACGATGGTACACATACCGAGTGCGTATACCTACAATTTCTGGGCAAAATCACCCACGGAAGTTGTCGAACTGACTTGTTTAATGCCAAATGGGGTCGTTATACCCTTGGAGACTAACCGCAACATCACGTTGGCCGAAATTAAGGAGGTAGGTGAAGAGATGAATTTAACAAAGCGTAGCCAGATTGACTTGATTCTGCGAGCGAGAGAGCGAGAGTGAGAGCGAGAGTGTGTAATTTGAATTACATGTATACGAACATGAACGTGATGAATTGCGTACGTTTTTACGTAGGATCTTTGGGACGAAGCCAGTAAATATCCTCTTCACGGTACGTTGAAAGATGCTCCGTCCTACGTATTCTCGTGTATCAACTCAAACGCAGAAGCAGAGGAGTTGAGGGACGAAACTAGACGTCTGTGCGACATAAAACCGTTTTGTTCTGTGCTGAAAGTTATAGAACGCGAAGGTGTTAAAAGCGATAGAAATTTAGATTCTCAAATTGGCCTTCTCATTGGGAAAGGATTGCACGAGTTTACAGCCTTGAGAAATTCCGAAGTGAATGACTTTAGATGGAAGATGAGAGTATTGGGAGACGAAGTTGCAATGGCCAGGCAAAAGAAATCTTGGATGGAGAAAGTACGTTATCAGTTCCCTACGCGATTAGCACCAACTGCCACGATACCAAAAAATATCGAATGTCGACTGAAAGATGGGAATATCGTTCTTGTCACTAAATTTGAAAATACAGAGGTAAGACTACGGCTGCTTCACGGTTACGCTTTTATTACGCTTATATACATAGAAAAATTAAAATATTTCTTTCTTTCTTTGTAATTTTACGTACGATAAACTTTTATCGATCGTTGAGATTGGCCGGTATATAGATAACAGGATATTCACGTTCCACCGCACTTGGCGATATCTTGGCATCGCGTCGAGTAGGAATTGGCGTCGCATTCTTCGTGGAATGAGGAAATGATTTGACCAAAAGTTTGTCCTCGTTGTCGCCGGTAGTTTGGTCACATCGAAACTTGCATGACTTTTTCGGTGTGATAATTTCACGTTTCGCGATAGTTTCATCGCCGCTGTGATGATTGCAATTTTCTTTGTCCGTTCTCTGCCTGTCGTAGGCTTCGCACCTTGCCGAATTCTTAGCCGAAGAATCGGTATGCTGCTCGATTTCAAGAGAATGATTTAGCTGCGATTGAACCGAGTTCCTCGATCGTTGCTTAGGAATGGATTGCTTCTCGTCGATCGTTGTATCGATATTACGCTCGTACGCGAGATCTTTCAGTTCTCTCAAAACCTCGTGTTCCACGTCACTCGTAGCACCTAGTTTCAACTTTGCTCGCACGGCGTGAATTCGATCCTTTGGACGTGTAAAAATGATGAAGCAAGACGA